CAGGAGGCACTTGCTTGCTTTTTAAGGGAAGAAATACTGTTTGTGCGCAATGGGAATGTCCCCGTGAGGGAGAAGTGGCAGCTCTGCCACTGAGGGGCCAGAGGGGCCAGGGCCAGGACACAGGGGCCCTCGAGGGAGCAGGAACTTTCTCAGGAGGCGGCCCTTTGGGTGCAGACTCTCAGGGTTCCCTTTGGCTGCTTCCATCTCTGGGAGGCAGGGAGCCAGGACCTGGACTGGCAGGTGGGCAGGCAGAGGGGAGCCGGGGAGAAAGGCCCAGGAAGGAACCCGGCCATGCGAGGAGCAGACTGGACCCCTGTGTGCCCTGAGGCTCGAGATCAAGATGGACGGAGACGGGTCAGAGAAGCCAGTCTCCTCCAGCCCACACGAGAGAACAGGGAGGCCCCAGTGGGTGAGGGTTTGTAGGGTGGAATGGGGTGGATGGCCCCCTAGGTGGGATAGTGGGACCATGAGGGGCGGCTAGTACTGGGGGCGGACAGTCGGAGGCAGTTGGAGCCTTACAGGCTGTGACGCAGGGACCCCTGAGACAGGACAGTGGCTCTGAGCAAACTGCGGGAGCTGAGGGAGGATGGGAATGGGGGGTGTGGTCTGATGGCCTGAGTGTCCACACGGGAATCTGGGAAGGACAGGAGCATGGGGGCACCCACCTCCAGGCCAGCCAGCCCCGTGGGGACTGGGGACTGGCGAAGGGTCTGTGCAAAGGAGGGTGGGGGTGGGAGGGGAGGCCTCCCAGAGCTGGTACCCATGTGGGGGGTTGGTCCTGTGGGACAGGGACAGGTGGAGATGGGGGAGAAAGTGCAGGGGGCTGAGGCCTTCGCCCAGGGCTCAGGTTCACCCTTGACCCTTGGGCATGGTTTTCCAGAGCCCCTCCTCCCCGGTCATGGGGCTTGGCCCCAGAGGGTTTGGCGGGTCAGCCTCTAGCAGAAGCAGCCAGCTGGCCCCTGGAGACAGCTTGTCCCACCCCCTGCCCTCCTTGAGTCAGAAGCAGCCTGGTGTCTAGAGGAAGGACTCCTGCCTCCCAGCTGGGGTCACAGGGCAAGGCCTGGACAGGGTCCTCTCCCGGATTCCAGGAAGGCCTGGGCGTGGGCTTAATGCACCACCCAGCCACGCGGTGGGTGAGGCGCCGGAGGGTTCCCCAATACCTGGCCCTGCACAGAGGGGGATAGAGGTCCCCAGGGGAGCAGGAATTTCCCAGCACAGGGCTGTATGACATGATGCTGCCAGAGGGCAGTGGACAGACGGACAGACAAGCCCCATGTGTGGTCGTGAGGCCTGTGAACCCTGTATTCTGGAGGGAATGGGAAGAAGCCCCAAGCCCGTGGCCATTTCCGGATGCAGGCCGGGGGTGCAGAGCAGAGCTCGGAGGGAGGGGACCAGCCGCGCGGGGGAGGGACCGTGTGGTGGGGGCCAGTGTGTGACGGGGGCTGTGAAGGGGGACCACTGGCAGGACAGACAGCCAGGCCTGTGTGACGCAGGTGCCAGGGCAGGTCTGGGGCATCGCTGTTGACAAGCCCGCCGACGGGCTTGGGCCTGGCAGAGACCAGTGCCCTGGGCCAGGTGGGAGGCAGGGCCAGGGCTGCAGAGGTGGGCGGGCAGGGCAAGGCGAAGCTAGTGGCCAGGGCGGGGCCCAGGTTCTTCCTAAACTTGCTCCCCCCAGGCCCCTGAGCATGGGGGGTCGTCTCCCCGGTCTCCAGGTGTGCTGCCCTGTCCTGGGGCCCCAGGCTGGGGCACAGGGAGGGGGGGGAGCGCGAGGGCAGGGAAAGGAAGTGAGCCCTGCTTTGGGCCCCAGATT